AAGGCAGCTCAGGCTCTGTCCTGTTTTTCCTGAGGAACCTGATCCTGCAGGGATGCTGATCCCAGCCCTGAGCAGTGAGCAGCAGTTAGGCCAGGCTGCTGGCTCAGCTTAGGAAAGCAAAGCCAGCACTAATTTCATCACTGAGGTTATTTTGACACTTCCCATCCCCAGTCCCGTCCCCGTTCCGTCTGTCCCCTTTCCCCTCCAGCAGCGCTCTGATATCTCAGGCTGGGTTTATTTTAGTCCAGGAAATCTTGGCAGAGGCATTTCAGGAACCAGTAAATCCTTTCTGCTTTAGTCTCGGCCTAAAGAGGCATTAAACCCATCCTCCCAGCCAGGCTGAGCTCAGCTCAGAGCTGCTCCTGTGATCCCGGCTCAGGGGGCTCTGAGGGACCAAAAACTGTCCCCAATCCTTAAAGCCTAGCCTAGGAACTGAGCGGGTCTTTATTGGGATCAACCAGGGATGGAATTTTGATGGGAAAAGGCAGAGAAAGATTCCAGTCCATGGCAGAGGTCTGAAATGAGTCCCGAGGCAGCTCTACCCAACAGCTCTGATTAAAGCCTGACTCATCTGAAATTACAGCACGGGCTTAATTCAAGGTCTGGGATAGACCTGAGAATGGAGTGAAGCATTTCAGGCACCATTCCGGGAGAATATTTTCCTGAAAGAAAAGCAAAATCCATTAAATAAATGGAATTCTCACACGTTTGGAAGTAGAGATGAGCTTAAGCGAAATTCCCAACAGGAAGCAAATGCCACGGCAGTGGTGGGACATGAACACCAAACAAAATCTGTTATTGCCACAGAGGGAGGAGACAATAAATGTTCTAATTRTTCTTTAAAACAATAAATGTTCTAAATGTTCTTTAAMACAATAAATGTTCTAAATGKTCTTTAAAACAATAAATGTTCTAAWTGRTCTTTAAAACAATAAATGTTCTAATTGTTCTTCAAAACCCCAACCTTTCCCATCACCGAGCTGCCACATTTCTGCCTCTGAAACCCCTCCGTTCTCAGAGAGTGCAGGGGATGTCAATAACGAATTAATGATGTTTTAATCCAAATAATTTGCTGCTCCAAACCGTCCAAATCGGGAAATTCAGACACAAAT